CCTGCATAACTTCATCATCGTCTCCATGAATAAATTAAAAAGTGTCCATGCATGTTTCCTTATCCTTAAGTAGAAAAATGGCTCATCAACTCTGATTTCATTTGCAAAGTTCAAATCTATTGTCCCCTCAATTAGATTTGACACATCACCACAATTTTTAAGAGTCAAAACTTTAGTAGAACATAATTTATTTTTTTAATGTTTTCCTTAAAGGTTAATTGTGTCCCTAAAAATTGACGCTTCAAAATTGTGGCGACGTTGCCAAAAATTGATTGAGGGGACACTCAATGGGATAGGGTGTGGAGATGGAAAGATTAAATCTAGATTCAATCGCAATCTTTACTTTAGACAGTGAAGGCCTTCTTTAAAATCACCATATTTTCATATCAAAACTCGTATTATTCAAATCATTTCTACTAATAATGACGTTAGAAGAGACTGTCTAAATTCATTTTAATGTTATCTTCAACTCACCCACAACAAAAGTGCATTCATTTTTTGATCAACGGATGGACATATGTACTATTTTCATGAATGGATAATCACAAAATTTGAACTTTTAAGTTTTTTGCCCAACTTTAATACTACAAACCAAATCATCTTAAAGTTTAAGTTGATAGTGAGATATTGAGTGTATTTATTTTAATATTATTGAATATGATTCAAACCATTGCATATTCTTAAAAATGAAAATGACGATCATGTCTTGCTCTTTATCTACTAACACGTAGTAGTAGATAGAACCTTGCAATATATTTTAAATCATACTTTCTTATTTCGTTAATATAGTTCAATATTATCTAATCTACTATGCCAAACCCGTATAATTAGTCGAGTTAAATTTATCAAAAAAAAATTAAGAAAAAAGGTCCAAAAGCCATTCCTTGGCCCTTGCCAACTAGTTGGGCTAGAAGCGGCTGGCTTGAAATTGAGGAAATCATGGGAAATGGCCAGTTGATCCATGTCTATTTCTAAAGTGGCCTTTGACTGCTTTTATTAAAAAAAAATGAATTTAAAGATCAAAACCCAAAAATACCCCTCCTTTTTCTCACTTTCAATTGTCTTCTTGTGTCAAACAGTGACGTGAACCAAGAAAACTCACCACAGTCGGGATCCAATCAACCAACAATCGATCAACAATCAGCGACGTTACCCACAACCCAGTTGGCCAGCGAACTTCTTCTTCTACAAGTTTAGAGTTTGGTTGTTAATTTAGGTTATGATTTGGATGGTTTTGATTATTAATAATAGTTTAGGGCAATAAATTTATCATTTTTCGATTTATTATTGGTTATTTAGGATAGATTGTTGAGTTTAGGGATAGATTTCTAGTTTCGAGGGATAGAGGAGAGCTTTTCTCGCTGGAACAACCGACTATTTGCTATTAAATAGTGGGCCGCTAACATTCGTCTGGTTGTTAACAGCCAGCAAAATCGAATGTTAACAGTCAGCTCAGACTATTAACAGTCTTTGGGCTGACTGTTAGTGAGCCGACCCACTTTTTTGGTTCCTTTTTATATTTGATTGATAATTTTTTATTTTCAGTTTAAATAATATTTTCATTCTTTATTAAATTTTTCACTTTCATTTTGTTTAATTTATTTTATGTTTTTCTAATTATTTTTCTGTCGTTATTCTTTATATATACATTTATATATTTTGGTTAACATTTTTAAATTAAGAAATATTAATTCAGTTTTTAAAATTAAAAGAATATTTTTAAATTAAAAATTAACATTTTAAATAATTTTTTGAACCTAAATTATTTTTTTAGTTTTATTTTTGTATGTCGTTTCAATTTTAATTCCTAAATAATATTTTTATTATTTATTTAATTTAAAATTAATTTTAATTTTTTATATTTATTATTAATTTTTGATAAAAGGGAAATTTTTCTTTTTTTATTAATTTTTTAACCTAAATTTTTTTTCCTTTTATTTTTGTATATTGTTTCAAAGTTAATTAAATAATATTTATATTCTTTATTGAATTTTTATAATTTGTTAATTTAATTTTAATTTTAATTTTTTGATAATAGGGTTAAAAAAATTCCTTTTTTATTAATTTTTAATTTTTTAATTTATTTTCCTTTTTTATTTTTTATTTTTTAATGATTGTTAGTGGACCGACTGTTAAATTTCTTTTTTTATTAGTTTTCTAACCTAAATAATATATATATTCTTTATTTAATTTAAATAATTTTTTTAATTTTTATTTTTATTTTTTCATTAATTTTGTTTTTTTATTTTTGTTATTTTTATCGTTTTAGTAAATCATTTATTTTTTATTAGTGTCAGTATAAAATGCTTGCATATATTAGTTACAATTCTATTCGCTTCATTTCCTATTATTATGTTTTATTCCATTATCTTTTGTACAATGCTTCAACATTTGAATTTTTGCAGGATGCATTACATCTAGACACTGCGTTAAGATAGATGTCAGGGAAAGCTACTTGGAAGACAGTTTCACTACTGTGTTGAAGCTGCTGGATGATCGACAAGTAGATATGCTATGCCTTGTACTAGTTGAGAGATGTGCAGTACTCAGGTCAGACTATGGATGCACTACTATGTCGGTTGCTAAGTCCAGTCGACGGTGATACCCTCCACTTCAACCTTGGGGGCAAAGTTGTCAGTTTCTCCATGTTCAAGTTTGCCCTAATCAATGGACTGAAGATTACAGGCGATAAAGCAACTCAGAGAAGCAACATATTGTACGACACGTACTTCCAAGGATAGGGGATAGTGCTTCTGGCGCAATTGATCGGCGCAATCAGAGGGATGCGATCGGATGTTAGACAAACTGAAGCTAGATCTGGTATACATCCTCAATATATACTTGGTCTTAAGATTGCCTTGTATATGGTAAACGCAATACCCATGATGTGCATCGAAAAAAACTTCAACGATACCATTTATTATAAACGGTCCCGGTTGATTATAAATGCAAGATCCTCGACTTTTCCAATTACTGCCATCAGTTTTGTGAAGAACCAACGCATCGACAGATCATTCTCACTATCCACTATGCCGAATGCAAGATAGTAAATTTAGATGTTGGCATCTTTATATGTAGCAACAATCAACTTATATTGATATCTAGATTTCAGAGTTGTACCATCAACTAAAATTAAAGTTCGCATAGCATTTCGAAATCCTCTAATGCATTGTCCAAGAGCCATAAAGAAGAATGTGAAGCAATTCTCGCCCTCCATCTCAATAAAAAATGTTGAGTCAAGATTAGTTTTCTCTATGTTATAGCAATATCTGGCCAATTTATCAGAGCTTTCCTCTGCCAAGCCCATTAAATCCTCCAACGAGTATTCTTTGGCCTTCCAGACCTTCTGGTAGCTTATGATCACTCTGTACTCTTGACAAAGGTTGTTAATGATATCCGATGGTCTGTAGATCGTCCATGGATCCCGATATTTATGCATTATCTGTTGACCAATAAATCAAGCTCGGGCTTGACTGTGATCATTTCGCCGAATTCTCATTTCACAAGTATGTTCCTGTGTATACTTGTAATCTACAAAGCATTCATTCGTGTTCATCTTCATTGCTCACAAACGTCAACAGCAACTGTCGTCTACGTAGAAGATGGTCAGCAACGACTCGCTATATTTTTTCACTTTGAACTCAAAATTGTATTTTAGTGCAATTAGGTGTACAGCTTCCTACAACTCTTTCTTCGTTTCAAATAATTGCTCGACATACAAATCATCACTATGAGGAACTACAAGTGAGGAGTTAATAGAGGGTCCACTCGATTTAGCCCTAAGGTCCCATCCCGCTCATGTCTCTGACTAGATAAAGCAATCAAATTCTCATTTGTAAAATTATTTTCATTTTCATTCTCGTTATCGTGAACAAAGGAGGAAATTTTGTGCATAACTGTTTCTAGAATAACCACATCATTTTCACGAGTTATCTCCATTGTATCCCAAAAATCATTAGCATTGTGATCCCCTCCATCCGAGTCTACGTTTTCACTTTCGACGACATTCTTCCTCACTAAAGTCACGCAAACAAAAGTCGTGTGCATTTTATTTAGTTCAAACAGATAATGCACTTCAGTATCATAAGAAATCTTTATATGTGAAATCGAAATGGATGCATGTTCGCTTAATTTAAATCTCAGCTCCATGTCGTACTGAGAAGGATCAACATTTAGTTTGTTCTATAAATCCTTATAGAGTTTTGTATATGATGTGCTTAATGTTATGAAAATCGCGATACCACCACATTTATCATTCGTCTATTTCTATACTCATTGATCTCTTTCATCCAATTTGAAATCACCAAAGTAACAAATTGAGACTACAACCATATCTGCATGATGGAACATAATTTTTAATTATAAGAAAAATATCAGCGATAATAAAAAATATCGACAAACAACCAACTATTCGGTCGGCTGTCTACATTAAACAGCCAGACGACTGTTTTGTTGAGCAGCCGTCCAACTTTGTTTTCGTATATGCAGATGAACTTTTTTCTTATCAATGCCTAAAAAACTATAGATCTATTAAAATTTTTTATCTAAATTAACATTATATGTCGAAAAAAAATTTATCAATTGTAATGTACATTAATTTAACGAAAATAAAATTAAATATGCGTATTTATACTTACCGATTCGACGAGATTTATATAAAAAAATTTCGGCTCCAGCGTTTGATAAATTTTTTAGATTTTAGGGTTGAAGTAGATGAAAGATGAGAGTATTTTTTATCTAGGTTGGAATAAGCTAATAAGAAAAGTTAGCTAATTTTGAAATTTTAAGTAAGAAGTGTTTGATTTTCAATTGTTAACTAAAATGATAGTAATGTCTTTTTAAAAAATATATATTTTTTTTGTAATTGTATAATATATTGAAGGATAATTTTGTCTTTTATCATTCGATAGGCCATTTTGATAATATTCATTTCTCAAGGAGTTAAAGCGAAATTTGGATGATTTGCCTAAACCATTTTTAAAAGGTACCCACTTGAAATTTATGCACATTTACATAATGCACCTTTAAGATTCCTCTTCGTTTTCTCTCTCTAAGACCACGACTTTTTTCTCTCTTTAACATCACCGGTGATTTAAAAATATCCGCCACCCACCTTCATTTATGGACCCTTTCTTTGGCGCCGGCGGTGGTAACAGGCCATCTCCAAAAAAAGAACTACTGGGTCCTCGTCCAACTGCACTCAAAGTCAACAAAGACTCGCGCAAGATCAGTAAACCACCAGTTGCGCCGCCACGTCACCCCCCAGGACCAACACAAGTAGCTCATCCTGCACCGCAGCAAGTTGAGGACCGGCAGCCGGTGATAATCTATGCGGTTTCACCAAAAGTACATCACACCACCGTCGGTGACTTTATGGACTTGGTTCAAAAACTCACAGGCAACACCACCACCTCCGCATCCGCCTCGACCTCCTCCACAGCCGACTGCGTCTCTCCGGCAGCCAGGCTAGCATCCATAGAGAAAACAAGTCCTTCTGAAAGGCAAAGAGAGAGAGAATTCACAGTAGATAATATTATGGATATTCTTGAAAACAGTAATCTTGATATGGGCCAAGTCCCCGGAATTTTATCTCCTGCACCGTCAACCCTGCCACCCATATCGCCGGGATTCTTCTCTCCGGCGCCAATGGACCCGTTTATGTTCGGGTACAACATGTTCATACCAAGTCCGTCAACCCTGTTTTCAGCTTCCATGGTGTCTCCTTCACCCTCTTCTTCTTTCGATCTCTTCAATCCATTTGACTTTTAGCCAATAGAAAAGTCATTTTTTATTTTTTTTTAATTATTTGATGCATGTGTTTTAGAAAAAAATTTCTAGAGAGAGAAGGTGGGCTTTGTGGAAAAAATTGAAAGTAGAGTTGGGGATGGAGTGTGGTGGGGTAGACCAATTTGTTTTTTATTTTGTATTTTTGGGTATGAAAGGAAATTATTTGTTAGATATTTGGTTCTTAGGAAATGTGTAATTTGACTAACTATCCAATGAAATTTTTGCCTTTTGGAACATTTAATTTTGGTTTAACATGATAGATCGACGTATCATTGATTTTTGTTTTGATTTATATTTTGTGTGCAACATATTTGATGAAATAAGATAGTGATGGTAACGTGGAATATTATATAATTTTGTATTTTTATGAATTGAATTGATATTAACAAAGTTGAAAATTCAATTTCACGTGCTAATATATTTAATAATAATATTAAGAAACTATTTGATATAATTTTTTTTTCAAAAATACATTTTATAAAAATTAATATTTTTGAAGAATATATAATTAAAAAGTTGAAAAAATAATTATAAATTTACATCTAAAATTATTTTATTAAAAAAATGTTATTGAAAATGAATTAAAAAATGTATTTTAAAAAATTTATGCAAAATGAAGTCTATGATTTTTCTTTCAAGAAAAGTCATTGGTCAACTTTGGAATACTATTAGTAGCTCATCCTGCACCGCAGCAAGTTGAGGACCGGCAGCCGGTGATAATCTATGCGGTTTCACCAAAAGTACATCACACCACCGTCGGTGACTTTATGGACTTGGTTCAAAAACTCACAGGCAACACCACCACCTCCGCATCCGCCTCGACCTCCTCCACAGCCGACTGCGTCTCTCCGGCAGCCAGGCTAGCATCCATAGAGAAAACAAGTCCTTCTGAAAGGCAAAGAGAGAGAGAATTCACAGTAGATAATATTATGGATATTCTTGAAGACAGTAATCTTGATATGGGCCAAGTCCCCGGAATTTTATCTCCTGCACCGTCAACCCTGCCACCCATATCGCCGGGATTCTTCTCTCCGGCGCCAATGGACCCGTTTATGTTCGGGTACAACATGTTCATACCAAGTCCGTCAACCCTGTTTTCAGCTTCCATGGTGTCTCCTTCACCCTCTTCTTCTTTCGATCTCTTCAATCCATTTGACTTTTAGCCAATAGAAAAGTCATTTTTTATTTTTTTTTAATTATTTGATGCATGTGTTTTAGAAAAAAATTTCTAGAGAGAGAAGGTGGGCTTTGTGGAAAAAATTGAAAGTAGAGTTGGGGATGGAGTGTGGTGGGGTAGACCAATTTGTTTTTTATTTTGTATTTTTGGGTATGAAAGGAAATTATTTGTTAGATATTTGGTTCTTAGGAAATGTGTAATTTGACTAACTATCCAATGAAATTTTTGCCTTTTGGAACATTTAATTTTGGTTTAACATGATAGATCGACGTATCATTGATTTTTGTTTTGATTTATATTTTGTGTGCAACATATTTGATGAAATAAGATAGTGATGGTAACGTGGAATATTATATAATTTTGTATTTTTATGAATTGAATTGATATTAACAAAGTTGAAAATTCAATTTCACGTGCTAATATATTTAATAATAATATTAAGAAACTATTTGATATAATTTTTTTTTCAAAAATACATTTTATAAAAATTAATATTTTTGAAGAATATATAATTAAAAAGTTGAAAAAATAATTATAAATTTACATCTAAAATTATTTTATTAAAAAAATGTTATTGAAAATGAATTAAAAAATGTATTTTAAAAAATTTATGCAAAATGAAGTCTATGATTTTTCTTTCAAGAAAAGTCATTGGTCAACTTTGGAATACTATTATTCTAATTGCTTTATAGTTGTCATTTTCAAATTAAATGGTTATTTTAAAGTCTTTCTTATTTTGTAGGAGTACAATATTATTTTATGAGAAATTTTTTTATTGATTCCTATTTTGGTCAATGAACAACAATTACTTATTGTGTTAATTTAGCAAGTTTACGAGCCGAAACAATTGATAAAGTAGTTACAAAAATAATGATAGATTAATCTATTAAGTAACTACAAATAATTAACTTTAGTTCTATTTAAATAATCGACTTTTAAATGTTGAATAATGAATCCCGATAGAGCCAATCGTTCGAGCAAGTATTGGTCTCACTTTATGAGACTTAAATTAAATTTGTCATATTTTCGCATTTGCTCACTCAAGCGAGCCTATTCAATTTTTGGTGTAGTGTTTCTATGCCGTTATGATCAATCTTAGCTCATTATCCTTGCCAATGTGTGTGGTTTAACCCGATAAAACAAGTAAAAATCTATGGACTTTCCCATCGAAGTGACAAAAATTTGAAAAATTATTGTTACATATGTAAGTGTACATTTACATTTGTCACTAGTTTCAAAAAACCACTTATTAAATTTTAAGTAAAATTACTTGTAAACAAACCTTTTACGCTTAGCAAAAGATACTATTGTGATATGTTTTTACACAGTGGAGACATGCTTAAAGCTTGTTTGGCACATTTTTTTTTAATTATTTTTTGGAGAATGTTGTTGGGAATCTACTTATACATGCACAGCGGAATTTAAAATTATTTCGATTCCCACCCAATAGATCTCATTGTGTTTGGTTAGGAATTGTGATAAGATTGTACCTTTTCCAGATCTGCAATCCTTTTGCTTTTCTTTTTGTTCCACAACTTTGATTCGCCACCACAGCTGTCCAATTGTCCAGCCTCCAACGGTGATCCACACAGAGAATATGATTGCAGCCTCTAGGGTTTTCTCTTGTGCTAGCAAGAATAATAAAAACCTTTTTGGACCTCAAACCCTAGTTATATATTTATATAAACCCAAATAGGCTCGGCCCGGTCCGATCCAATAATTAATTAATCCAATTAATTAAACCCGGTCCGTGAATTAATTAATCCAATTAATTAATTCAAAATATAAATAACAAATCCAATTAATTAATTTATCCAACGATTGTTAAATTAATTAATTGGCAATTTGCAATCTTCCAATTCTCTTTTGTGTGTGACCCATTAGGTTCCCGACCACGATGCCTAACGACGTGAAATATTATTTTGATCTAATCAAAATTGATAAATTAAAACACCCTTTTAATTTATCGTCAATTCACATTCGCCGTCCCTGATTGACATCTAGCAATGTGTCAGGGCAATACATGTGACGGGAAATGTCACGTGGTATGACAAAACCAAATTCGTTCGTTTACCGTGAAACTATAATCCTTTCGTCAATATGATCCGATCAATTACGAGATATGGAATTGTGTCAATCTCGATCATCGATCATATCTTTCACTCCACTATTAAGTCAATATAAATCGAAAACTCCTTTTCGACTCATG